AACCCTGTCCTTAGGGTGTACAAGCTGTGAACGTAAGGTGGTTGCAGGCAGGCGTGCCACTTGTACCTGGTGTTTTTTGAGTTGTCTTTCGACAAGCTCCGATACATTTTTTACGTATGGACAGACCTTCGTAGTGGGCATCCAGATCGACATGGCATTTGATGATGTTCGCGCCTAGCTAACGAGCTTAGAGCAATTCTCTCGCTTGTTTTGTGCTGGCCATTGCGATAAATTTGGTACCGTGCGAAGTGGAGCGTTGGTCACACTCATCAGAGAGCACAGATATGCTTAATAAGTGGTCACTTCGACGAATGGCCTGTCTTTAAATAGTTTTGGGGTAATGAACCAGCCCTTGTTTGCTCATTTTTTCCGTATTATCAGGATTGGGTGGTCCATTGCCGTGGACCTAAAGATGCTCTTCTCCGTTACCTTTTAGTGGCCGAACTCGTTGCCCGCTACGATGAGGCCGGTGAAAATGGACGAGCTCAAATGGAACTTCAGTACGGCAAGGATAACCTTAATCAGCTGATCGCCGAGTACAAAGCCAATGAAGTCATAAGAAAAGAGTGCAAGTCCTGTCCCAATTACAAAGCCCCCATTTGCGTGAGTCATCATCCTTTTTTTCTGTCCCGTCTGTTAAATACTCGGAATTCGTGGCGTGTGCTCTTTTGCTTGAAATTTATGCCTTAGAGGAGAGGATGGTGAGCGACTGCTAGGGGTGTGTTTGGAGAGCCTCGTTTATTAATGTCATGAAAACTAATACGTCCCATCATCAAGGAAGTTTCGCCTGAGGACTTTGTAATTTGTAAGGCTAGATTTCGCCGAGAATCATGCATTGAAAGTTGTGTGGGGCTCCAAGAACTATACCAGACTTATAAAACCGCCTCCTCCTTATCATCATTATCATCAACACCCACCATTCTCCTTACATAGCACGGTGACGTCAGGATGCTGAAATTCTATCGCATCTTCCCATGGCTTCACTGGAATTCACTCATTCTACGACCACCAGAGTGAATTGGGTCTGGATGAGGGACGCATACTATGGAATAACCTGTAGTTTTGCCATTTCAAGGTCGACCGGCCATGTTCAGTGATTTACAGTATGCTTATACTGGTACGGTGAGAATGGAAACGCTCGCCCGTAGCTATGGTTGCTGGTTCAAAATTGACGCAGATATTTAAAATGTGGTAAAAGCGTATCAAATCTGCCAAATAACACAGAAAACCTTACGGATGGAGGCAAACCTGCGTTACCCAGGTTGTTGTTGTTGCAAAGAAGACAAATGCAGGATCAC